TTCCATTAAGCTTTGGCTCTGTATAGTCCAACACTATCAAGCTTGTCCTCATTTCAGTTACACCATGACACAAGCATGGGGCAAACTGATTAGGTGACCTGAAATTAGAATCCTAGCAATATAACAGAAAAAAACACAGGACTACCTTTGGCTCACAGCAAACAAATGATATTGATCAGAGTTTGGGTGAGATCAGTGTCTAGTGAAGAAATACAGGCAGAGACTGCTTAAGGGATGGCAGGAAAAAGTATTTGGAAGAACTTGCAGTCTGGGGACAATGTCCTTGTGCCACGTGTGCAGTCACAACAGACCCATTCATTCTGTGTAAGATGCTCTCACGTAGTAGCATCTGTATCTTCATTTAGCTATGTTTTCCATTATTATAATGTATCTACATTTCTTTATGCTTTCTGTCACCTCCTGGCTGCATTACAATCCCTGGGCAGAAAGCCCACAGCGCCCAGGGAACTCCAGCTAGTACGGAACACTCCAGCACGCCTCTTCAGCAGCTCACACTGCTGTGAATGAGTGCAGTTCATGAAGCTGGTGTCCTGCTTTCTACGCTGCCTTCCTTTAGGCTTTGTACTGCTGTTTATTTCCAAGATATTTTCCTTGTCTAGCGCCACAAAGTCCCACCAGCTGAAGTGGGAAAGAGATGGAATGTGCTGGGTGTGATCTCCTCCGGGTTCACTGCTGCAAATGTCACCACATTCCATCGCAAGCACAACACATGGGAGTCAGTCCGTACTTATTCCCATAGAATGAAACTCTTTTCTAAATGCATTTTACCTCTAGGAGAGAGGCTGAGAAGGTAATTGTGGCATGTGTTAGTTACATTGTGTAACGAAGTACAAGAAGGCAATGGGTTGATAACATGGGAATGAGCAGGGTAAACTCTGCAAAGTTCTAGTTTGGGTCCATACAGAGGAATGCAGCCCCAAGGAAAACAGAGAGAATCCAACTTTGGTGCCCCTCAGCTGAAGTAACTCTGCAATGAAAGTATTCTCCAGAAGAGTCTGCTCCACTCTAGCACTGTACTCCTCAACAGCAATATCCTGGCTATTTCGTCCCTTTGTAGATAAGAGAAACAGACAGCCCATTTAGTGCACCTAAATTCAGCTTCAAGACAACAATTAAAAAATAAGTGCTAGTGTTAGAGAAATCTATGCAGTCATTTCAGGTGTGAAAGGAGTTTAATCTTTAGGTCTGTTTCCCTGAGGATTGACCTTATACGTTAAAAAAAGCACTGTTTGTAATTATAAAAGGATTGATAAGCATCAAATGAATCGTTGCAGCACTTTTGTTGACTGTATTCCATGCTAAGGAGCAGTTGCTGTGTAACCTTGAGTATGGCCAAATAATTCATGCTGAATGCATCCTTACGAAGATGGCGTTTTGGCAGGGCTTTGATGTAGGTCATTTTATTACCAGCCTGCATCAAACTACGAACTGATCTTCAACTCATGCCAAGAATGCTAATTATAAACTGATCAATGAGGTGCTGGATTGTTCAAGAGAACTGGTCAAGGGAAAATGCAGACATAAAAAGTCTGGAATTCCAAAGGTTGAACTGCTTGGGCTTATTATACTGGGAGGAATTATATTCTTGCATTAGCACAAGTTTTCTTTACTCCAGGGGCCTTTAGCCGAGTGTTGAACAGGACAGTGTCAGAAACTATATACTTACCTTTATTTTTCTTGACCTTTATGTGCAAGTAATTTTTATAGTTCCATTAACTAGTAAGATCATTTGCAAACCACTGTACAAAGTATATTATGAAGAATGCCTTAGGGACCTTTGTATCCTATTATGTTGAATGTTAATAGAATGAAAAATTAATTTAAACTCTAAAGATTAGAGCAAGGCAAGGCTTCCCTTTAATAGGGGAGATTCACAATTTTATTTGCTATGGTAAAACTTCAGAGTTCTACCCTAATACGACCTTTATATGGACCTTTACGGGCCTGACTGGAATCAGACAGTGCAGGAGTCTGATTATTTGCTTCTTTGGATAAAATGGGTTATATCAGAGCATCCCCTTTTAAAAAGGGGGGATTTCTGTGAACCAGGCAGATAGGATTAGTCCTGTGTAATTTCACAACTTTAAATGACTGTTTGCTAGTGAGCTCATAGCTGCTTATTTTATTTTACCTTGCTTTTAGCGAGCTAATAAACAGAGATGAGAGAGCCCACAGTTTCAAGGAGTGTCTTTACCGTGCTTGAGTCTTAATTGCGCATTGAACATTGTCATCTGAAGCTGTGTGGGACTTAAAACACCTAAAGCACCTAAACCCAAAGATGCAGTCCTCTACAGTACTTGTGTGTTCACTCGTAGGACAGGGGGGAGTGGCTTTAAACTGAAGTGGGTAGATTTAGATGAGCTCTTAGGCAGAAGCTCTTCCCTGTGAGGGTGCTGAGGCGCTGGCACATTGTGCCCAGAGAAGCTGTGGCTGCCCCATCCCTGGCAATATTCAAGGCCAGACTGGAACTGGCTGAGCTTTAAGCTTCCAGCTGAAACCATTCTGTGATTCTATGATTGCTTTAGAATGAGGAATACTATCTTGAGCCTTACTTGTAAGTCTCACATAGCACATGTCTCAAGGGGTTGGAGCACTGCTACAGACATCAGCACTTCTGTGCAGAGCTGGGTGATTAAATTAGCTTTATTAGTTTAATTAGTTATTAATATTTCATATTTATGTTATCATAGTTAAGTTGTAATATGTTTGTGTGGCTAAATCAAATATATCTAGAGCAGTAATAAGCAGGAGTTTTGTTACTTGGAAGAGTGAAGAAACAGTCACCATCAACCTTCTTGCTCACAAACTATGCCCTATGGCTTGAGCTGAGAACCTGGCCTGAGTAAAAGTATAACAAGTTGCACGTTTTACATGTAGGAAGAGTTATTATTGTAATTGTCCACACAGGCAACAGAAAAACCTCAGTGCTGATTTCCATACCTCTTGTAAAACTAGTCTGTAAGTGACATCAATGAGAACTGTATTCTCAGATACAGCTACAGAGGGCACAGTTTTCAAAGTATATCCCAGCATGCTGTGTATCTTTTAGCACGCTGTAGTTTTAATAACAGCCTAAATGTATGTGGATGTTCTTTATGTGGACTTGTTCTGGATAACCAGCCTTTTTAAAATGCTTGCATGAAGATGTGTATTTCTTTACTTTAAAGTCCTGTTTATCGAATATCCTGTCTTTAATTCCATCCTACAGCTGTAGATGAGGATGCCTCATATCTTCAGAAACTCCAACTCAAGTAAAATAAATGCCTAAAAGATGAGAACAATTAGTGACTAGAGAATTAGTTATCAATATTTCATGCCCTCTGCAATACTATCTAAACACAAGATATGAAATAAGAATAAATTGCCTTTTTGACATACAGCAAACCTAGGAAGGAAATGACTAATCTAGAAAGATCTTGGAGTCGTCCTAATGAGACAACATTCTGGTCATTGATCTCATGTGATTTGATGGATAAAAAGGAGGAAGATTTGTCCCGTAGGATTATTGAAAGTTCGCTTGTGATTTAAAATGGGATTTAAATACATCATGGATAGCTCAGAGGGTTGGTGTGATGACCCAAAATCAGAATAGACAGCAAAATGTTTCCATCAGCTTTGATGCCAGCATAAGCATGGATTCAAGATGTGATCTGATCTGGTAGTCCAAACAGAATGTCAAATACATGAGGTGTTGTTCAAATGGTCAAGACATTGTGGAATATGAGGGACTTGGATCTAACAGGGTGTTTCATATATGGAACCAGTGCAACTTCCAGAAGGCTTTAACTGGGTAGTTCAGCTGTGTTTTCAGTACAGCAACACAAAGCTACTTCCCAAATCAGCTTTACTGGCCTCATTTCAGACAGGAATGAATTAATCTTTGTCTTGGAGTAAGAATTTTGTAGTCTGGCTTCAGCCAGTTCCTGTTTAAGTAAACACAATACCCTATTTCCCATTGAATATGAAAACACAGGGTAAAAAACATAGGTTATATATGAAATAAGATGTATGGTATCTATATTTGTGTGTATAAATTTCAATATGGTGATCTCATTGCCACTGCATCGTATTTGTTAGTAACTCATACATATTAGTCTAGATGGAAATTGTATGTTTCAATTTAACCATCCAATTTGAATCACTGACATGCTGAGTTTTTGGTAATGTCTTAAGTGGTAAAATGGAAACAAGGTAGTAAGCAATAAAGTTCAGCCTTTAAAGTAGTTATTGTCCAGGTTTTTTTGTATGTGATGGACATACCAGCATAAACTGAAAACTAAGACGTTGCAACAGCACAGGAGAAGTCTTAAAACTATGAGCTGTTCCTACTCAGGGAGAGGAAAAGAAGATTCTCCTGTGTATATCTCTAGGCAACTGGCAAGGGAGACAGTAAAACCAACCAGTTTTTCATAGTCTGAACCTTGAGGATACTGAGCATTCAATAATCCAAAGTGGACAAATAAGATACAGAGCACTGTAGTTATGGAAGACTGGTGACCTTGAAAAGACAAGGCTGTCCTTACAGCTACTGCATCGTGTGGTGAAATTGTTTCTTTTCCTTGAGCTATTTTCTTACAAATCTATTTTGGATCTTAATATACTTTCAAAACTGAGTTCCATTTTATCTTATGAAAAGTAGCAACTTGAGTGCACTACAAGAAGCTGGTATTCTGTAATATAATAATAATGTCAGTTTGGTAAAAATTTTATCATGAAGCAAAACTGCCAACCAAAGTAATTTCTGGTGTTAGAGGTTTTCATTGCAAAGTGCTGAAGTGACAGATGAGTTATTGCTGTCAAGAGACCTACATTTTATTTCGGTCACTTTGTATTAATTAAATCTTGCAAGTAATTCTTTTGTGTGTGTTTGCTTTGTTTAATATTTTTAAACAAAAGATTGCTCTCTGAGGCATAGTTAAGTGTACTGTTACCAACCACTTACTATGTTTACAATGCTGTGCTTTGTTTCTTCCAAACAGCACTCTGCACAGAGGAGTGTGTGCATGGAAGATGTGTCTCTCCCGACACTTGTCACTGTGAACCAGGATGGGGAGGTACTGATTGCTCTAGTGGTGAGTAAAGATTTACAATCACGTGGTGGAGATTTATGCTGCTATGAAAGAAAAAGATCTTAAATAACACAGTAGCCTTAGAACTCGGATACTTTAAGTGGAAAAATGAAGTCTGTCTGTTGATGCTCTTAATGCTTTCACTCCTGTTATTAGGATACCAATGCAGTTAATATAGCTCTATTATGATATTTTTGCTCTCTTAAACCTTTAATACAACACATTCTTCATTAAATACTGTGTGGAGTACTTGGAGTCGTTTGGAAAGCACTGTCTCTAGACAGAATCCTTGTCCTGTTGAAGGCAGTGGGAGTTTTGCCATTGACTTTTCACACAGCCCAGATTCTCCCTTCTGACTTGAAATCCATAACTTAAATTATCCATACTGCAGAAGTTAGGGAAATGGTAGAGGTAGGAGTTTGGCACCTTTGGCTGGGAAATTAATTCACACTTGAGGCTTTCAGTTCGTTCAGCTGGTGAAGCTGTATATGTCAAACTCTTAATTGGTAATGATAAGTTTAAGTCTGTGGTTAGTTCCTGCTGAAATGAAGCAGGCAGTGCTCTTCCCAGGGCAATCATCAGAGATGATGTGCAACACAGGCCCAACACCTTATTGATACAACAGAAATAAACTTGTTAAATGAAGTCTGTTTGTGTGTCAGGGAAGTAAATAAAACTGCATCAAGAAAGATGCTGTGAGTCATTTACTGAATGAACATTTCATTTTGCTTTTACTTCTTCCCTTTCTACAAAATTCATTGGGATCTTAAGAAAGAGGCGTCATTACCAGGCAAAAAGATAAGGGATCTATAAAGGGAGGCATTAGAAGGGAATAGGACTTAAATGTGACAGAGGATGAACACCTCCAGAGGCTCAAGTCAATGGGACAGACTCTTGTCTGGTCAAGTCGTTGGTGGCTTGTCCGCAGCTTTGCTGCTCCTCAGAGCAGAAAAGGCAATAGGGAGGAAGCAGGGAGGAAGGGCAGAAAGAAAGGCCAGCCTTTGGGGTTTGAAGCAACTTTTTGGGATTACCTGACAATGAAGACAAGGGAAAAATTGAGCAGCATCACATACTGACTATAATGATATTTTTAAAAAGAAAGCTTGTAAAATATTGCGTAGGATCTCAGGAATTCATTTTATCCTCTGGTTATTTTTAGTAAGGGATATATTTAACCTAAGCACCAGTGGGTATTTGTACAGTGCACTTAGAGAAGTTACAAATTCTAATAGTAAAAAAAGGCTCTGACAACATGGACATACCATATAGATGCATACATTTACAGGTAGAGTAACAGCACTCCGTTCTTGGTAAATATGAAGAGGAAAGGATAAGATATGAAACTTTAGAATGGTCTCGTGGACTAAAACTACCCAGTGACTCTTATTAAATTGCAGTAACTTGCAAGTGAAGATAAAAAGAAAAAGAAGGTTTTTCCTATATTGAATATTTAGCTTTTTAAAGCAATTAGGAATATTAAAGCACTGACAATGATTGAGATAGAAACATTATTCATAACTTTTATTTCTGCACTGGGCAGCAATCCAGTATATTTCATTTATGAGGTTTCAGCAGTGGCAAGAGAAGCGTTAGCCAATTCCTAAATTAAATATGCCCTGTTAACTTTTATAAATGATAGCCCAGGATTAGCTTCAAAATTTAAGCTTTCATTTTTATTAATGTAATTAGTGTGTTTGCTGGACTGTAGTGCCCGTTGTCTTCCATTCCATTTGTTATATGCTGGGCAACACATACGCTTGTCCTAAGGTCTGATTCGACAAGCACTGTCTGATGGAATGCCCATAAGTGTGAATGGCTAACAGAACTGGCTTCTGCTGCAGCTGAGAGCTGCTCACCTTTATGCTTCCTGCTAGAAATTTGGATGACTGACCTCCTTCATGTTAGGAGATTTAAGTTTAAATTAAAAGGGATAGAACAGCTATCAGCTGAATGCAGTGTGTTGTTACTCTGAGTATTTCTGGGACAGAAGCTGAGAGCCTTTGCCTCACTGAGGTTAACCAGGTTTTCCAGACATGTTGATAATCCACATATTGAGTTGTGTCTTACTGTTATCCAGTAATAACGTTGAAAACATTTTTCACTTCTCCTGGAACAATGTAATACCTGTGCCTACGTTTTTCCTATTCCTTCATTAATACTGGGTGCCTGCTATGAAGGTTACATGTTTGCAGTGACAAATGTCAGTTGCTAGATGTTTCTGAGAGGTTCTGTAGGGCTGTGCTGTGAGTAAACTGAAGCTATTGCTGTCCAAATGCCACCTGGCTCCCGCCGAGGCCACAGAACTCTCTGAGATGCTCCTCAGTATCAGTGATTTTATTAAGTCTCAGGCATACTGCTTTTAATGTTGGCTGTTTGAAACTCTTGTACTGGGAAGGTGATTGCTTGCCCAAACACTCCCTTTAAATTTAGAAAATCTCCCAGGAGCTGTTAATTGTTTCCTGAATGTTCTCTCTTGAAAACAGTGTTGAGAAGTGGACCTGACACTGGGGGTTTTCTGCTGTCATTTGGGAGAGATCTAGGGACGCTCACTCTTTCTGAGGTAGTATTTCAACGCCCTGCAGATGAGACCATCAGAACTTTCCAAAAGTTATTTATATAACTTTCATTTGGTTTGATGGGTGAAATTCAACCACAAACAGAGCTCCAGCACAAGGTCCACATGTCACTTCCAAACCAGAAGTCAGATCCAAATGCTTGTACTTTTGGTGCGTAATTTGCCAGGAGAGGGTCTGAATTCTGCCCCCAAGCACAGATTTCCAATGGGAGGCAAGATTCTGGTGTCAAACACAGCTTCCCAGTGCTACCATTCTCCATTGGCTAGAATATACTCAGTTAAATGTTGTGAATAGTTTCAACTACAGCCTGTAAGGCATTCAAACACCTTAATCATCATTCTCAGATGTTCTTTCATGCTTTCCTAAAACTCAGCTTGTAAGACAACATGGCTTGCTATTAGGAGCAGCTTCCCAGTGACTGATCGTGGTACATGTTAGAGTTCAGCTGTTGTCAAGGTTAAAATAACTTCAGATGAATTACTAAACAATTATAAAAAAGCCCTGTGCCATATTCAGCTCTGCATGCCTCTGTACCTGTGTTTTACAGCATGCTGTGGTACATCTGTCGATGCCCACAGGCCTAGCCTTGATTTCATGCTATAAAGCTGCAATATATTAAGGCTTGATTACCATAACAATAAAAAGAGAAGTAATGAGATATTAACTGAAGAAGCTCCCAAACAAAATGTTTTCAAGGTTTTAATGATGCTAGAAATTAAAAGGAGAAGTTTTTAGAAAAATACCAAACCCATACCTTTTCCCTTCCCTTTTAACTTGTTTTGATAACATCGTGCCCATTTTGTCCGTGCAGTCTGTGCTGTTGTGTTTTTTAAATACAAAGGGAAATTGCAAATGCTCTGTGTGAACTTATCTGCTCACCTGTCCAATTATTTCAAAACAATTAACTTCAAACAGTATGATGTACTGCCTTGAAGTTCTGGTAGGGATATAATTGACTGTTGGTGGTTACCTGGCCTATTCTGGGTCTTGATAACAGCCATCTGTATCTGCAAGCCTTTAGGCCCCAATCCAGCAAAGCACTTAAGCATATCCTTAAGTTGACATAGAAGTAGGGCTTTTCATCTGCTTTAAATTAAGCAGGTGTTTAAGGAGGTTGCTGAGTCAGTTTAGAAGAAACAGCTAAAAAGACCTCAGTGAAATCTAAGCAAGCATCTCTTTCATCAGGCCCCTAAGGGATAAGGTGATTTTCTTTCACAATGTGAAAACTCATCAGGCAGTGTCACTGAAGACCATTTTGACTTTCATGAGAACTTGTCATTGCAGAGAAGATCACAGAAATCTTTCTGCTTAATAAGGGATTTGCAGAGCAGTGGACAAGAGGTAGGAAAAAGAAAGTTCCGAGCAAGAGCCCTGAATTAAAAGCAAGAACCTTCCAAAATCGTGTGTCTCAGTTTGAGAAATTTCAGAGTAGGCAAACACAGAGGTTGTAATGGAAAAATAAAGTGGGTTTCAAAATGTTTGCTTTGCTGTTGGGATGGGGAGAAAATAGAATAGTGTACTTAAGGAGATGTTGGCGTAACAACGCCAAACAGTCTTCCTTCATGCTATGTCCCTTGATTACAACATTGCAGCCAGGCATAGGCTGGGCAGTAATGTACATATACAGATAACACAATCTTCTTTGGAAAGGATGTTTTGTACAAACTGTCATTAAGAGCAAGAACCTGCATCATCTTTATCTCTTTGTCAAAAATAGCCAAGGTCATGACAACAGCAAAGTCTAACATCACAGCAAGATCACATTTAAGGGTAGAGCCCTGGAGCAGCTGGAGCGCTTCAGTTCCAAGACTTGTGATGAATGAGGACTGCAGATACTTTGCTAAATCTGAAGGGCGGTTGCTCAGCAAGCTATGAAAGCAATGGCAGATATCTCAGGAAAAAAACAGAGTATTTTAAAGTGAGTCTGTGGTGTTTGGGGGCTTGATTTTGGCTTCCACATTCTTAAAATAAAAAAGAAATGAAGCTCAAAGGAGAGATTCCTGGTTTGCAGATACAGGCTCAAACAAAATCAGGGACTGATCTGGAATCATTAATTTTCTATGCTCAGGTTTTTAGGGTAGGGCTGACTGGGAAACCACCAAGGCATCAAAAAGATGCAAAGGTGGGAGACCTCAGCTGTCCTAAACTGTTAGTGGGCAATGAGTTGGATTCAGGGCCTGTTCCTGAAGGACATCTGTCCCTGTTTCTTGTGGGGGAATTTGTCTATGCTGGGGGTTTGTACCGCAGTGGCTGCCAAATGAGGTGACAGAACTGAGTACAGGGTTTCTGTTTCCATCAAAGCCAAAGTATTTCATTTGTCATTCCAGCTGTTGAGTTCAGATGCAGTTTTTAGAATGTTTAAAGTCTTGAAACTTCCATTGGGATCCAGACTTAATTACTGCTTTTGCTGAAACAGAATTCCGTATC